GATCCAACGGGGGGGGGGGCATTAGGGGCATATGCCCGCCCCCCCATTCAGACTTACACTTCTTACGCCTATAACGAGGAACTACATAAAAATGGATTAGAAAGCCTTCCTAGTAAATACTTTCGTGATCAGAGTCGTTTTAGTATCCTCAATTTAGCTGTCATTGCCTTTATTTTGTCTAAAAATATGTTGCTTCTTACCACAGGGGAACAATGCCGCTTCAACCCTATTTGCCGTATTGTTTAATCGTATTCTAACCGTCCCTATTCCCAAGCATAGGCGGCGGCCGATTCCTGGTTTGCGCAATATGACTGCCGTCGTTAAACAATACGGTAAATAGGGTTGAAGCGGCATGACTCCCCTGTGGTAAGAAGCAACATATTTTTAAACAAAATAAAGGCAATGACAACTAAATTGAGGATACTAAAACGACTCTGATCACAAAAGTAGTTACTAGGAAGACTTTCTATCTAATCCATTTTTATTTAGTTCCTCGTTATAAGCTGTGAAATAAAAGGTGTGGAAGTATATAAAAAGTGCTATATTGCTCACCAATAAAAATGACAACCAGTTCAGCTACCAATCCACTCAAACCTCCCACTCGCTGCTCCCATTCTCCCAAACCCTTGATTTTATTCACTGCTCTCGTGCAGTGATAACTTAACTCGTGCGCGTTAAATCGACTGATCCCCACACTCCCCCCTGACATCAAAGTCACAACTGACCTCCCCTGACTCCCCCCCTGATCTCAAAGACACAAGCGATATCAATAAGTTACAGTGAATAAGTTATTCACTGCTCTCGTGCAGTGATAACTTTACTCGTGCGCGTTAAATCGACTGATCCCCACACTCCCCCCTGACATCAAAGTCACAACTGACCTCCCCTGACTCCCCCCTGATCTCAAAGACACAAGCGATATCAATAAGTTACAGTGACACAGTCAGTTTCAACATCACACTCTCGTTCACAACACGCTGTCACGAGTACATCAGTCGTTGGGGTTCCCTTCGTAATCGCGCAGAGCGTCTCAGTGGTTGACCTTCTGTCTGTACCCCATCTCCAGTTGGTTCTACTGCAACAGAGCCGTCGGTCTGGCCAAGGTCTGGCTTGGACAACCGAACCGGAGAACTAATGGCTCTTCATCTTCACTGGAATCTTGCACGTGCCGGGCTGTAACCTGACTGGTGTTCTGAATGTTTCCGGGAGCCCCTTCTGCCACTCGTGGTCTCAGGTCTCTGATGTGTCGAGGTATACCATCCACTTCTACCGCCTGCTCAGATATGATGTTTGTCACAACACCCTGTTCATAGCACGTGTCACAGCGGACCTGCGGTGGCTTGACCCACACACACTCACCAACTTCGTATGGGCTCTCTGCTGTGTTTGGTGTCCGTGGTGCCATCATGCCCACATCCCACTGGACGCAGCTGCTCAAGATACCCGCAGGAGTGGACTGGGCGTCGTTCAGGTGCCGTGGGGTTGCGTTATAAATGTCAACCGCCTCCAAAACACTGCATCCTTTTCTAGCAGCGATGACTTTTACCGTGCGATGGTTTCTTTCCACTATTCCATTTCCAGATGGAACATATGCACAGCGGTATCGCACTGTGACGCCCCATTGTGATGCGAACTGAGCGAAGCATCGACTGCGAAAGGCTGTCGCATTGTCTACCAGCACCTCAGCCGGTGGGCCTCGATCCACAAACAGCACATCAAGCTGCTCTGCAACAGCCTCAGCCGTCTCTGCACTCAGTGGCTGCCATATTGCGAACCGGCTTGGTCCACAGTCCACCGCCGTGAGATAGGGTCGCCCGTGGACGTGTGTTACGTCAATCGCCAATCTTGACCACGTTGTGTCCACCTCAAGTTTGCCTGACCTCCACTTTACGGGGGCGGGGTCGATAGACCGACAAATTTGACAGTCTGCGACGACCTTCTGCACCTCTTTTCTGGTGACGTTCGGATTTTCAAGGCGTGCAAAGTAATGCGTGCGACGAATGCCTGGATGGCCCCATTCGTGATGCACACGAGCGACCAGGTAGCCTATGGCATCCGTACGGATCTCGACAGCCAGTCCGCATGCAGGAGGCGCCTCATCTTTTCATACAACGGCACTCAAATACGCATTTCAAGAAAAATGCTATTTTATCAACGTGAATTAGGTCTCAGAAACAGCAACATGTCGATGTTAGAGTGAGTTTGCGAAATCGGTGGATCCGCGGAGTCCCTAGGGAATCCACGGAGTTCCTAGTGGCTCCGCGGATGAACATCAAGTCTAGTATATTCGCGGATAAACGGGCGGGGATCCGCGGATGAACAAAATTCTTCAGGATAACCGCGAACTCCCTGAAGAGTTGCCGAGATCCGCGAACCACCCGGGGAATCCGCGGGGTAACGATTCATTCTAGTGAGTTTGCGAAGTTTCTATGCGTTTCATGCAGCTATATTATGACAAGATTGCAAGGCATATTGGCTAGATCGTCTGTGACTTAACCCTCGCCGGCCGAGGGGGGCGGGTGCCCCCCCCCCCATAGGTTTTTTTTCGCGATAGCTCCGAACACGCTGGCGATAGAGAGCTGAAACTTGGCATACCTGACCTTTGATTCAAGCCGGATCTTTTGACACCAACTGCATTTTCGGGTCAGGTCAGGTCACTGACCTATGACGTCATAAGTGAACCTCTGCACGGTCTTCAGATGTCGCAACTTCGCAACGCCCTCACTGCCAGAGGAGCTTTTAAAGGGAAATGAAACTTGCATGATCTAGTATCCATTACGAGTCTCACAACTTGTATATCTCGGAGTTTTCCTAAAGGGCATATGAGGTCAGGTCATTTTTGTGACCTCACCATTATAAGTCAATGGGGAAAAATGAAAACTGCTATTCTGGCGCCGGGAACGATCTCCAACTATCTCAAGCACACATAATCGTAATTTGATGCACTCCTTGCAAGGTTATGATGCGTCACTTTTGCAATCTTGACCTTGCGTGACGTCGTTTATGACGTCATCAAGGTCATATTAGTTTTTAGTCAATAACTCCCGATCAAATTGAGCTAGCGAGTCGGGAAAGCCACCAATGGACCCAGAATGACCTGCCGAATCGAATGATATGCGACATGACCTCTTTCGACCAGCTTCGTGACCTGGGGGCGCTGACCTGACCTTGACCTGAGGTCAACACCCTAAGTTGACCTGACCCGAACAAAAAGTATATCATTCGACGCGCCTGAGCGAGGCGAACACGATGCTGTTAAAATCGGCGCTCTGCGGTCGTTTTTTGCGAAGTTATTCACCAAAAACTGAACCGTAACTTGGGGCACTTGACCTGACCTCAGAGGTCACCGGTTGACCTAGGACCTTAAAATCGGGTACCAATCTCTGCGTCTCGTAACGGCGCACACGCTCGTTTTTTCCGCGACGCGCTAGCTCCACCAGGGGCGAAACGGCGAGGGGGGTCGTACCCCCCCCGCCCTCGGCCGGCGCGTATGTTGAAAACTAATAGGTCCGGCGAGGGTTAACCCTCGCCCGTACCTATTGGTGTTTTCCCAGTTGCTGTTGGAATCCGCGGAGTAGGTAACGATTCCAAGGGCGGCGGATTCGGGGGGGGGGGGCAGAGGGGGCAGAGGGGGTATTAATTGAGGTTGTCGCGTCTCAAAGGCGATTAAAAAGACAGGATGTCCCAAATGCTATTTGGAATCGACCTGGAATGTCAACCAATGGCCTGGTGCCGTATGGTTTGGGTATCATTGGCTTCTTCTAATCACGGAAAGCAATTTATTTTTCCGCGAAAGCTCTAGCTCGATCAGGGGCCTCACGGCAAGGCTTCCAACGGACCCTTCCTCCCCCCCCCGCAGACCCCTCTCCGCATACGGTAGTATCTGAGAAAACAATAATACGGGCGATGGTTAAGTCGCAGATGATCTACCCAATATGCCATGCATTCTTGTCATAAGATAGCTGCATGAAACGCATAGGAACGTCGCAAACTCACTAGAATGAATCGTTACTCTGCGGATTCCCCGGGTGGTTCGTGGATCTCGTCAACTCTTCAGGGAGTTCGCGGTTATCCTGAAGAGTCTTGTTCATCCGCGGATCCCCGCCCGTTTATCCGCGAATATACTAGACTTGATGTTCGTCCGCGGAGCCACTAGGGACTTCGCGGATTACCTAGGAAATCCGCGGATCTACAGATTTCGCAAACTCACTCTAACATCGATATAGTGAGGAAAAGTAAGTACAAATGATAGCGCAAAAGAGTAACTTTATCTCCCTAGCAACCACCTGGCAACGTGGGACAAAATAGTTAGCAACTCGTGTTGATATCAGGTACTCAGCCTTTGGAGGATACTAGACTGTCACCATATTGAGCTTTATGCTGAATTTTGCATACCAGAATGGTTATTCCCAACTAAAATGAACTATTTGCAAAATTTATGTTTGTTGCCTAACTATTTTTGCGAAAAACCGAGATATACAAACTTAATAATATCAAAAATAGTATTGTGATTATGAAAACCGACTTACAAAACAAGATAATTGCTGAGATCATGCATACTAAACTTGGTCATACCCCGTAATTCAATATACCCTGATAGACACTAATCCAGTATTATCTCATCCATGATGCAGATATATGACAGGTCCACCTGGTGATGAAGGATGATGATTGATGATGGAATGCTTATGAGGCTGAAACGGATGACTGGGCCTAAAAGTGCATGATTTTTTGATCGAGTTCAACTGCTCAAAACTGGTCCGTCAAACTGGTTCGTCTTCTACAAGCAATTGGGGTCTTCTGTGAGATTGAGACGGTGCAAATGAGCACAAATTGTGAGGCGAAAAGTGTAAATTATATTCATGTGTCCTGTCAGTTTTTTTTTAATAGGCTGATATTCGAGGCATGAATTCACGCCAACCAGAGCTAAAGCTTGAGTCCATCAGGCCTACCCCTGCAGGGGTCCGAGTCTGCACCCTAACCGTGCTGCCCGCTGCCAGTCGGAGGAGTCCATCTGCGACGAGCTGCAGTCGGCGGAGCTGTGTAGGCGCCGCCTCCAGCACCTGATGGAGTACGGCTCCCAGAGCGCCGGCCTGCTCTCGCAGTGGAAGCGCCAGCGACTCGACCGCCTGCTGGTGGACCACTTTGTGCGCTGCGGCTTCTACGAGCTGGCCGTGAACCTGGCGCGCCACAGCCAGATCGAGCCGCTCACCAACATCGACATCTTCTTGGTGGCCAGCCAGGTGAGCCAACCGCGCCGCCCCGACCGCTGGTGGCTGCCACCCGCGCCGCCCCGACCCGATCGCTGCACAGTGTAGCCGAACACCAGTTTAGCGCGAATTTAATCCCAGCGCCGCTCGGGACGGTTAAAAATGGTTCTCTGGTCTCAAAATTGACACTTTAACCTATGTGAGACCTTTTACGATACATTATAAATGCTTGCTGACATATTATGACATATGATTATATATGTTTTTGAGCTGGGACGTATTCATTTGGTATAAGATTGTAGGCGCTGGATAATGCTTTACGGGTGGCTTGAGCTGAGTGATTTTACTCTGATTTATTTCAAACTAAAGTTGATCAGGATGTCGTAATATTTCGGTATTAAAATAAAATATAAACTCAGGCACAAAATAGCACACTTAACACTGGTTCTTATCACCGTCTTTCTCACAGGTTCTTCTTCTTTCACGCACACAATCTCAACCACAACCACCGTCAAAAGCGATTTTTGGTCCGCGGTTACATGAAAGGCTTATCTTATTCTACACCAATTAAACTTAAATATCACTTGACTTCTTCCTTCCTTGCCTTGCGGTTTCGATACTTATTTTCAAACCTTTTCAAAACCTTTGTTCTTAACCTATTTTTTGTTCAAAATTATTTCCGTCCTACTTTTCTACTTCAGCAAAATTTTATTTGGTGTAGCTCGTGCCCGTCACGAATGACGCCGCCGACATAGAAACGGCATCTACACCCCCGCCCCCGTCGGCGCACGTTAGCCCGAGCGTCACTTAGTGTTCGCTTCGACGGTTGTTATTCTCCTGCTTCCGCGAGGAGAACCAGCTTAGTCACCGGACGCTTCAGCACTGTGCTTTTCGTCTGCACGTCCGCCGCACGAACGGCTCCGCCCGCATCTGGAAAGACGCGTGTCACGCGCCCGATGTTCCATGTGCTTCTAGGAGCGTTCTTGTCTGCGATGATAACTACGTCTCCGACTTGTAGGTTTCTTTCTTCCCTCGTCCACTTCTGCCTGTGCTGCAGAGCAGACTTGTAAACGACTCAAATTTTTTTTGAGTCGATTCTTTGTTTGAGTCTGGAAATTTGAATCGATTCATCAAACGACTCATGGTGTTAAATTTAATTGATTCGAATCAACTCATGACTCATCAAGTTCCTTGATAAAATGATTCGAATCAACTCATGACTCGAGCAACTAGCCAACGGAATGATTCGAATCAACTCATGACTCACACATTTTGATGAATCGATTCAAATCAACTCATGACTCACACGACATTTTTATTGAACTTATTTCATTCAACCCATGACTCACTATAGGCATTTGTTGATTATTTGACTCAAAGCTATGATAAAATGAATATGCCGCATACCACAATTGTATTAAGCAGCATAGTAGCCTTGACCAAAGATTCAAGCAGCTACCTAGTAGGACTAGGTACATAGGTACCTACTTTGGCAAACATGGTTGATGCAGTTTCCAGTTCCTAAGTCCCAATTCCACTTTTGAATTCTAATATTCCTGCAGATTGGGCTATCTATTCTGTAGCATACTGGTCACTGGTCAGTCTTGCTTCAATTTCTTATCTTGTCACCTACAACAAAGCAAACAATTTCTAACTCCAAGCAGTCCAGAAAATACTTCAAATGTTTGTACACATCACTTCCATTCAGTTTGCTGTACACACCCAACAATATTTTGGGCTGTAGAAATCAAATACCAATTACATATGAGGTAAGTATGACTAAAATCCATTTATAATGGACACAAATCCAATTGAAGCAAGGCTGACCAGTTGCAAATCTTACCTGCCTTTTCAAAGACATTGACATACCTACCAATACCAATTACCAAAGTCACTGTGCCCACCGGAAATCGCAGTTCATGTCTGATACTGATATCCATGGCCTTGGTTTGATATTTAAATGCATTTCAATATCAATCAGCTTTGAAATTATTTCTATCTGTATGAAATGAATCTAAGGCATTCTCCAGAAGCCGTGATATTGAACAGATTTTTAGCCAACTGGCGCCGCATGGTGGCGCTAGCAGAGCGTATAACACTAGCGCTCTACTAGCGCCATCATACGGCAACAGCTGGCAAATAACTGAGTCAATACCAATGCCATTCTCCAAGGCCGATGATTCCGTGTTGATATGAAAACGGCGCATTTGAGCGTCATATATGCTAAGCCTTACGCACGCTAATCTACTGCATAAAGGTAACAATTTTGGAACACGATCGGGAAGAGGACGAAGCAAGATTACTTTACTACTCGGACGAAGTCTCCACTCTAGCACATACTAAACGCCTAATGACATTGATACAAAGACCCCGAATGCATTGACGAGTAAATGTGCATCAGGAACGGATTTTCCTACTTGTTCATCATAGTGATACGTTTGTAATACGCAATTACTCTGCTCATGGATCCCAGCTCAAAGACGCTAAGATCAAAATCAGGTCAGTCCCAGAAACTTTGGTTTTTATTCTATATCTAAGTACTAACAACAAATTGTAGTTTGTTTTCTACGTTAATGAATTGGCACTAAGTCATGATCGCAACCTTGCGGTACTTTAATGCGATTTCGATTTTGCAGTACTTTAACGCCAACAAAATTTTGCAGTGTTTTAACGCCTGCTGGTGTCGACATTTATGGCGGACCTTTTTATGTTTCTCTCGTTTCTCTATTTTGGGACGACGGTGAAAACAGGGCGCCTGGGGCGATTTGATCAAGGTTCGTGAAATTTACACGTGACGTTTGGCATATAGAAGGCCCTTGGAGCGGGAGAAGTTCCAAATGTCACGTGACTAATATGCCCTCCGGCGCCCTGTTTTCACCGGCGTCCCTATTTTGATTTTGATTTTCTGGTTTTGGTTTGGGACGTTATATAGTTGATATTTGAAGGACTGATGTATTCCATTCTAAAAACGAATATCTTTTACCAAGAATATTAGCAAAGGTATCAGTATATTTATCTTGTTCCATGTTTGATGTTAGGTTCTGACTGATGAAGTCACTGCTCCATGGATCCCCAGTTCACATCATTTTTAGCAGCTGTAGTAAAAGGGGCTTAGGTGAGCATGAAATTCAGTGTTCTTCTTACGCCTTATATTATTAAATATGACCTGAATCTGGTTCTAAAATACAAACTGTGAAGCGAAGTGAAATGACCATGGCATGAGTGTTTTACTTTGCAACACAAGGTTGCTCAATTGGAAAGAAAATATTTTCTTCTTGCACAGTACAAATTTTCCAAATGAATTTCGGGAACGGGTCCATCTGGTTCCAATGCTGACCTAGACTGGGTCTGACCGGTTCTGGAAATGTGCCAGTCAGACTGGGTCCGGGTCCGGGTCCCAAAATTCTCCAGTTTTGCCACCTCTAGTACCTAGGTACCAACTGCCAAATGCTTTTGGCTCATTAGGCGCCTGTGCCTGAGCCTCTGAGGCTCTTGTAAGTCTGAAATATGGAGTTAAGTGATGGCTAGAGCTGAGGGGGTGATCTAGCATTGATTATTAGGGTGTTGATGGTGACTTGTAAACGACTCAAATTTTTTTTTAGTCGATTCTTTGTTTGAGTCTGAAAATTTGAATCGATTCATCAAATGACTCATGATGTTAAATTTAATTGATTCGAATCAACTCATGACTCATCAAGTTCCTCGATGAAGTGATTCGAATCAACTCATGACTCATCGAAAAACGGTTTGATTCTGAGTCGATTCACGAATCAACTCAGAGTCGTTTACAAGTCTGCTGCAGAGTCTGCAGATATTCTTGGCTCCATCTTCTCCAGAACTCTGTTGCCAGGTGCTGAACCTGCCGCCATCTTCTTCTGGTGTAGTTGTCGCTGTCGCTAAACGCACCAGGCGGTAGGTGAGGGCCGGCTCGAAGGAGAAGAAGATGGTTGGGCGTCAGAGGGTCGAGATCCAGTGGATCGTCAGACGCTGGTGTCAGTGGACGGCTATTGAGAATCGACTCAACTTCACACAGCAGTGTCGATAGGCCTTCTTCGTCCACGACTTGACTGAGCAGTATTGAGCTCAGTATCTTCCTGACAGAGCGAATCTGTCGCTCCCATACTCCACCATGGTGAGAAGCGCCAGGTGGGTTAAACTTCCACTTCACGTGATGCTTAAGCATTGCTTCATGGATCTGCTGCAGATTCCATCTGTCTATCTCTTCACGCAGCTCTCTTTCGGCCCCGACGAGGTTCGTTCCATTGTCCGATCGTATCTCTTCAGCTTGACCTCTCCTGGATACGAATCGGCGCAGGGCATTAATGAACGAGTCCGTTGAGAGGGTGTGAGCCACTTCAATGTGAACCGCTCGGGTCGTTAGACAGGTGAACAGCACGCCATACCGTTTGACCATACTTCTTCCCTTCTTCACGAGCAGGGGGCCAAACAGGTCTACCGCCGAGAACGTGAACGGCGGCCGGTCGGGCGTAACTCGATCCACGGGCAGATCGGCCATCTTTTGCGTCAGCGGTCTTCCTTGAAGTCGTCGGCATGTGAGACAGCGGGACAGGACCCGCCGAACAGCTGCGTTTGCACGCACCACCCAGAACTTCTCTCTGAGTGAAGCTAGGACATGCTGACGGCCTTGATGACCCACTGATTGATGCACGTCTTGGATGATGAGATCCGTTACGTGTGACTTGGCCGGCATAATAGCCGGATGCTTGCTTTCAAATGCTTGTGTAGACCGACCGAGACGCCCTCCGACTCGTAACACGTTCTGGTCTAGAACGGGATCGAGGCTGCTTATCGGGCTGGAGCGCTTGACATTTTGCATCCCTCTCAGTCTGCTTATTTCTTCTTTGTAGCTTTGTGATTGAACATAGCTGATCACGGCCGTCTCTGCGTCGTCAATTTCTTCCACAGACAGGAGAGCTGGTGTGGTCGGCTGATCAGCGCGAGCAGCTGTCCCCTTCTTGTTCGGCTTCTTCTTCTCGTTGGCCGATGTAGGGTGAAGTCGTATAAGAGTACGCACTTAGTGGATTTCTTGCTCTCATTTGTTTAATATTTGAAAGAAAGAAATGGCAAATAGGGAATATTAAAGTTCATTGAATTAGCCATCAACCCATGGGGCAACGATCCTTCAGTGTAAATGGAAGCGGTCTAAAACTGACATTTTCTGAACCGCTGCAGTTGCGTACTCTTACCATATGGGGTGTGTAAGAGTACGCACGCCAGGCGGGTGGAGTACGCAAGCATATGAACACACGCTTATGCAGCTTGTACTGTCCAAATGCTTAACTTCAAACTCAGAAGGCATCTAAGTTAATTCTAGTATCCAAAAAGAAAAACATAAAATAAATCTTTCAAGTCTATAAATCAGGAAATAATCATGTCGTGTGTTTCTTTAAAAAAAACGCACAATCAAAAGACAGAATAACTCGTATTTGGAAGAATTTCGGGTACCCATCTGCATCACAGTGCTCCATTGATGATATGCCTACAAAACAAACGTCATTGAGCGATATATTAATAATTTTATATTTCTGTATATTCGATTTAATGTATAATTCTGCGTACTCTTACCCTCCTGAACAGTGCGTCCTCTTACCGTACATGCAATTCGCGCACAAAACAACCCCGAAACGTTGTGCAAAACTTCGCAAACAGAATATTGCACTGCACAGTATTTCCCCAGATAACCTCACAAGTTTCCCACAACAATCACGGAAATGTACCTTATCTCAACTGCCAAGTATCAGAATTATTGTACCATACCATAATAATATCATAACGCTCGAAAATAATATTTATCGCCTTAAACTCAACAGCGTCGCCGCTCAACGCCCACGTTCCGTTGGTGACAAGCACGCACTGGCGGCTTCATGTCACTTCATGAACTCGACAAACCCGCGTTGCTAAGCAACCGAAACAGCTGATGCGTACTCTTATCGCCCGCGTACTCTTACCCGCCCTTACCCTACTCGAGGCACTCGATCTGCTCCCGTCGTGTGCTGCTGTCCTCGTCTGCAGAGCCGAGAGCGCCCGCTCTGCCTTGGCCTTCAGGAGGCGTCTCAGCCGCAGGAAGAACGCCACCGCTCGCTTCAGTCGGTACCATGATGAGTACTGCAGTAGAAGTCTGTCTGTGGGGTTCTTCTCTGAGGTGCTTGTGACCGAAACTATCGCAGGTCGCTTCACTTCTGCGTCATTCTGGTCCAGTTGGACAGGTAAGTTCAGATCCACAGGCCAGTGCTCTTCTTTTTTCCACAGGAACTCCGGTGCTGATGTCCATCTCGAGCGATGGAGAAACTTCTCCACAGAAACCCCACGGGAGGCTTCATCAGCCGGATTCGACTTGCCATCGACGAATCGCCACTGACTTGGGTCTGAGTGCTGCTGTATGACCTGGACTCTGTTGGCCACGTATGTATGAAAACGGCTAGTTCTGTTCTTGATGTAACGGAGAAACGGTAGAGCTGTCCGTCCAGAATGTAGTGCTGTCTACCGCTACTTCTAGCTCCCTCTTGAGCTGTGCGTCTAGACGTACTGCTACCGTGGCAGCTGTCAGCTCGAGGCGTGGAATCGTGACAGTCTTCAAGGGTGCTACTCTTGCCTTTCCAGCCAAGAATGAGCAGTGGGTCTTCCCTTCGATATCTGTCACCCGCAAGTAGGCTACTGCGCCGTATCCTGTCTCACTTGCATCGGCAAAATAGTGAGCCTGGCAGGAAGTGATGGCCTTGAAGCCTGGGGGCTTGTAACACCGTCTTATCTTGAAGTCCTGAAGGTGATGAAGAGCCTGCGTCCACTCTATCCACTTTTGTTCCAGGTGCTGAGGAATGGGGTCGTCCCATCCCAGGTCCAGCTGACAGAGCTGCTGTAACAGGATCTTCGGAGCCATCAGAACGGGTGCTACGAACCCCAGAGGGTCAAAGAGCGAGCTGGTTGCCGATAAGATGCCTCTTCTTGTTGCAGGTTTTTTCATGTCCTGAACTTGAACTCCGATCGTGTCTGATGAGACATTCCAGAGGATACCCAGAACACGTTTTTCGGCTGAGTCCGTCTCCAGTAAGCTTTTACTGGCTGCTTCTACCGCTCTGTCTTCTTCTGGGATGTGTTCCATGACTGACTTGTCATTCGAAACGAACTTCGTGAGGTGAAAACCCCCCCTTCTGACATGCTGAGCGGAGCGACTCGGTTAACTTCACAGCTGAATCTACGTCTGGCACGGACTTCAAGCAGTCGTCTACGTAGAAGTTACGTTCTATCGTGTTCTTCACTTCCGAGTGGTCTTCGGTCCCTATGTCTTCTGCAGTTTTCTTGAGGGCAAAGTTTGAGCACGCTGGCGATGACTTGGCTCCAAAAAGGTGCACCCTCATCCGGTAGTCCTGTGGCTCCTGGGATGTGTCACCTTTAGGCCACCACAGGAACCGCAGTAAATCTGCATCTTTCTCAGGCACTCTGACCATGTGAAACATGCTTTTGATGTCAGCGGCGAATCCGACTTCTTCCTGTCGGAATCTTAACAGTACACCGAGCAGACTGTTGGTCAGATCAGGTCCTTGTAGCAGCTGATCGTTCAGTGACACGCCGCCGTACTTTGCTGAGCAATCGAAGACAACTCGCGTCTTTTCTGGCTTTGCAGGATGGCTGACGGCATGGTGGGGCAGATACCATGTCTTGCTAAGTCGATGGAGCTGGTCGGGAGGGACAACTTCAGCGTGACCTTCTCGGATGAGTTCTTCCACACACTCAGTGTAGCGCTGATGTAGACCTTCGTCCCTCTCGAGTCTTTTCTTGAGCCCTTCGGCTCGTCTTTCAGCCATCTTGCGATTATTCGGTAGGCTAGTGTCTTCGTACTTCAGTGGTAGAGCTATTTCATACTTTCCGTCGCGCATAGTGATGCTGTCATTCACTTGTTTTTGCCAAAGCTTATCTTCGACTGACAGACTCGGCTCGCTGCCGAACTTCTCCGTGAAGTCACTGTTGTACATATCAGTCAGCATTTTTGCTATATCTTCTTTAGCGCTGGCGCCGACTCGGTTCAGTTTGACGGAGTTGCTGCTGGTGATGTTGGTTCTCTGGTCGCTGGGGCCCACTATGGTCCAGCCGAGGCGGGTCTTGATGGCGTATGGTCCGCCGTCTTCGCAGTGTACGACGTCCCAGGGCTCCATGGCGAGAGGACAGTTACATCCGATCAGCAGGCCGACGTCTTCTGCTTCCACGACCGGAATCTTGATGCCAGCGAGGTGAGGCCACTGCTGCACGACAGATGCGTCCGGTATATCGCTGCTCGTGACAGGGATCTTCTTGATTGTGTATGTACACGGCAGTTTTACGCTGCCGCTCCCGTCCAGGCTTGATACTTGAAGTCCGGTTAGGGCTTGGCTGCTGATTTTTAGCTCGTCTTGCTCCACGGTCGTTATCGCCAGTGACGTTTCTTCTCCCTTTAGCTTCAACTTCTCAGCGAGAGCGTTGGTGATGAATGTCGCCGAGCTGCCACTGTCAAGAAAAGCGTACGTTTTGCTTGTTTTTCCGTTCCGGCCCGTGACCAGCACGGGTAGTATGGACATGACAGGTCCGGCTCGGTCCGTCGTCGTTCCGCCGCATACTTCACTTCTTGGCTCGGGCAGCGGACCGGGTCTTTCTTTTTCTGAATTTCTTGAGTCCATGTGAAGCAGAGTTGGGTGACGAGAGCCGCACTTCGAGCATGTCTTCCTTTTGCGACACTGTCTAGAGCTGTGCCCGTATCGGAGGCATCCAAAGCATAGGCCACTTTTCTTGACCAGCTCCAGTCTCTCGCTGGTAGTTTTATGCAGCATCTTCTGGCACGCTTCCAGGTCGTGACCTTCCTTGCAACACGGACAGAGTTCGCCGTTTGCTGCATCTTCCGTTGTTTTCGTCACATGAATTTTCGATTTCTTCACTTTTACAGCTTGTTCTCTTCTGTTTACAGGTGATGACTTCGTTCCACTGGAGATAGCGGCCATCTCAGCGGTTCCAAACACGGGATCGGCCGCCACTTCCACTTCCTTCTCCACGAACTCCACGACATCTTGAAAGCTGGGCTTCGCGTCCTGTCTTGTCAGAGAGAAGGCTAACCGGCGCCAGCCCTCTTGAAGGGCGGCTGGCAGCTTGCCAACAATCTTCTGCAGGTTCTTCGGGTGGTTTACCTCAGTTAGACTGCTGATGTCTTCCATAGCATTCAAACAGCCTCTCAGTTTGATAGCGAAGTCTTCCAGCCCGTCTATATCCGTGGCTCTGATCGCGGGCCAGGTGAGCAGCGTCTCCACGTACGCCTTAGATATTTTGTAGTCATCGCCGTATTTTCGATCGAGAGCCTTCCGAGCCTCAGCGTAGCCCTTTACTGGATCAATGTGCATGTAGCTCCGCACTATGGTGTTGGGCTTTCCGTCTGTGTATTGATCCAGAAAGTGCAGGCGCTCCGCGCAGTCTTCTGTCCTTTTGGCTATCCTGCTTTCAAATGCGCGGATGAATCCTTTATACTCCAAAGGATCGCCTCGGAAAGTCTGAATCTGCGACTGTGGTAGAAGAGTTCTCTTCTGTTGAGTTAACAGTGCTTGAATAGCTGTCAGTTCTCGTTACGAATCGTCACTGTCATCGCCATTCGCAGCTGAGCCTTGTCGTCCTGGAACGGTCTCTTCATTGAGGACACTCGCGCTCATAGCAAGTGCTTTTTCTCTTGCTTCAGCAAGCGCAATTTCTTCTCGCAGCTGTAGCCTCTCTCGTTTCATCTTAAGCTCCATTTCTTCACGAAGAAGTCGTTCTTTTTCTTCGAGTAGAGCTACTTTGGCCTCTAGCTCTGCCCTCTTAAGAGTTTCTTGGGCTCTTTGGCTTGAGGTAGAGGAACTTGAAAGGAGAGACGTATGTGACACTGAGCTTCTGCATTCAATTGCCTCCGCTTGCTCTTCGGCAGCTAGAGCTTTCTCCAGTCTTTCTATCAGAACAGCCTTGTTGCCGCTTGTCGACAGGCCTCTTTTTCTGAGTTCTTCCCGTAGGGACTTTGCCGTACGTAACGGCAGGTCGTTTGGAGAGTCAGCTCCCATCTTCTTATGTACTTTGACTTACACTTGCGTCGTTTACGTTAAATGATGCAAAACCGCTTTTGACTAAATGTAGGCGCTGGATAATGCTTTACGGGTGACTTGAGCTGAGTGATTTTACTCTGATTTATTTCAAACTAAAGTTGATCAGGATGTCGTAATATTTCGGTATTAAAATAAAATATAAACTCAGGCACAAAATAGCACACTTAACACTGGTTCTTATCACCGTCTTTCTCACAGGTTCTTCTTCTTTCACGCACACAATCTCAACCACAACCACCGTCAAAAGCGATTTTTGGTCCGCGGCTACATGAAAGGCTTATCTTATTCTACACCAATTAAACTTAAATATCACTTGACTTCTTCCTTCCTTGCCTTGCGGTTTCGATATTTATTTTCAAACCTTTTCAAAACCTTTGTTCTTAACCTATTTTTTGTTCAAAATTATTTCCGTCCTACTTTTCTACTTCAGCAAAATTTTATTTGGTGTAGCTCGTGCCCGTCACGAATGACGCCGCCGACATAGACAAAAGATTCTACAAAGCCGGCATCTACAAAGATTGTTCAAACACCAGCTTTAAGTTTTTCTTGGTAGCTTTCGGAAGCGTTACAGCCTCCTTCGTCAGCCTTGGATAGAATTCTTAAAAAGACAGATAAACACGTAAGTACAAAACATTCAAAATTCAAAAACGCCACTTAAACTTAAAGGGGCGCAGATGTTCGAGAAAAGCTCGTTTCGTAAATCGTAGCGTTCCACTTCGTTGACAAATACGCATACATGAATAAGCACAATAAACAAAAATAAACCGCATGAACATTGAACTATCATTTAGTCGCCGAGCCGAGCACTCGATATACATCTGCCACCATGACACCAGGTTTCACATTCAGCACATTTCCTCTCGCCTTGTCGATGAAAATACCCTCCTTGATTTTTCGTTTCCTCCAGTCAGACTCGTAAGCTAAGACTTTCACATCTCCCCAAGCGACACAGTGACCCGTTTCTATAATATGTTTGGCTAGTCCTGAATGATTCTCGTCTAAAGCTCGGTTCCCACCGGGCCCGTCACCCGTCAAAACGGGCCCGTCGCCGTCCCCCGCCGTTTTCGAGGCCGTTTTCACACCTTCATGGGAAGTTGAATATGGCAGCCATGAAACGGGTCATATGGTAGCAGCTGCCGAGACAGAAACGGCGCGCATAGTTCACTCTGTGCGCAGTTAACCCTCGCACGACCAGGCCATTTCTCATAACACGAACGACCAGGGGGGGGGTTGTTGTTACGACCCCCCCTGGCGTTTCGAAACGGAAGGTCGTAGAGCTTAGCGGAAAAAACCAACGGATTGCTCTCAACGAGATCTCGCGATTGGTGGTATATTTTTTGGTCCTAGGTCAACATTTGACCTACTTTTGACCGGTCAAAGGTCAAATTTTCGGAAAAATAGACTTTTTCAACTTTCGGCGGCGATTGCGGCAAAACAGTGGGAGATATCGACTTGAAACCTTCACTATCGTGTTCCTTGATCAAATCTCCATCGTTTGGTATGTATTTCGTTTCCCTAGCTCTAAAAATGGCGAGTTGGGAGCGCCGGAAGTCGGCAAGGTCACAGTCGGCGGCAGAAATTCGAAAAATCAAAATTTAAATTTTTGAAATCTGATTGTATTTTTGGATTTGGGAGGTCCATTTGCTCCCTATAGAAGCTAATATTGCTGCATATTCCCATTGAGGTGACAAGAATTCGCAAAATAGTGGTTCGGGCGCTTTTCAAAAATAGTACCGGACGCTGTTCCTCTTGTGACGTCATAGCTCCGTGACCTGACCTGACCCGGTCAAATTTCTTATACCATATGATAGCCAATACTTGCCCCAACATGCATGGGAAGTTTCATCACGATCCATCAACCGATGTCCGTACCACCGGCAGGAAACCTCGGGCGTTGGCACTCGGTTGGTGGTCGGTGGCTGTGTTACTGTGGTCGGTGACTGTGTTACTGTGGTCGGTGACTGTTACTGTGGTCGGTGACTGTGTTACTGTGGTCGGTGACTGTGTTACTGTGGTCGGTGGCTGTGTTACTGTGGTCGGTGTCTATGTTACTGTGGTCGGTGACTGTTTCTGTGGTCGGTGGCTGTGTTACTGTGGTCGGTGACTGTTACTGTGGTCGGTGACTGTTACTGTGGTCGGTGGCTGTGTTACTGTGGTCGGTGGCTGTGCTACTCTGGTCTGGGGCTGTGTTACTGTGGTCGGGGGCTGTGTTACTGTGGTTGGTGACTGTTACTGTGGTCGGTGGCTGTGCTACTCTGGTCGGGGCTGTGTTACTGTGGTCGGGGGCTGTGTTACTGTGGTTGGTGACTGTTACTGTGGTCGGTGGCTGTGCTACTCTGGTCGGGGGCTGTGTTACTGTGGTCGGGGCTGTGTTCCTGTGGTTGGTGACTGTTACTGTGGTCGGTGGCTGTGTTACTGTGGTTGGTGACTGTTGCTGTGGTCGGTGACTGTGTTGCTGTGGTCCGTGACTGTGTTACTGTGGTCGGTGGCTGTGTTACTGTGGTCGGTGGCTGTGTTACTGTGGTCGGTGACTGTTGCTGTGGTCCGTGACTGTGTTACTGTGGTCTGGCTGTGCTACTCTGGTCGGGGGTTGTGTTACTGTGGTCGGTGACTGTTACTGTGGTCGGTGGCTGTGTTACTGTGGTCGGTGGATGTGTTACTGTGGTCGGTGACCGTGTTACTGTGGTCGGTGACTGTTACTGTGGTCGGTGGCTGTGTTACTCTGGTCGGGGGTGTTACTGTGGTCGGTGACTGTTACTGTGGTCGGTGGCTGTGTTACTGTGGTCGGTGGCTGTGTTACTGTGGTCGGTGGCTCTGTTACTTGTGGTCGGTGGCTGTGTTACTGTGGTCGGTGACTGTTACTGTGGTCGGTGGCTGTGCTACTCTGGTCGGGGACTGTGTTACTGTGGTTGGTGACTATTACTGTGATCGGTGGCTGGTTACTGTGGTCGGTGGCTGTGTTACTGTGGTCGGTGGCTGTGTTACTGTGGTCGGTGGCTGTGTTACTGTGGTCACTGACTGTTACTGCGGTCCGTGACTGTGCTAATGTGGTCGCAGGTCGCTGACTGTGTTACCGACCACCTCTTTCTATACATTAACTATGTCCCAGCTGAACAACATTTACAACTACCAGGGCTAGCTGCTATCTCGAATTTTTTTTTTATTTTGAACCCCAAAAATCAAAATGTTTTTTTTTTAATATAAGAACCAAAAAGATCCAAAAAGTTTTTAGATTAAAAAAAACGGAATACATTTGATAGCCACTACCAGCTTCTATTCACATACCAACTTTTAGATCGATATCTCTTTTTTTGGCCAAGTTATAGCGAAAAAAACTGTTAAAAATTGATGATGTCAAATTGTCAATCTCAATTTTTAGCAATTCTAGACCACGTAGCACAAAACAAAGATCACCATTAGACTCGTCGTGATGAGCTGCATCGAATCGATACACATTTTATGCAAAACTATCAACTTTAAAATTTGACCTTTTTTGACCTGACATTGACCTGACCTGAACCAGGAACTTACCTACATAAACCGTTCCTGATGGTCTTATAACCAACTCCGTTGAGTGGGAAATGAAAAATAAGCCATTAAGTATGCATCGCACAGCCCTAGTAAAATTGGGTTCATGTGCTGACCCTTGGTGACCTGACCTATGAGCTGACCTGGTATAATCAGTAACCTCATATAGCAACATATGTGCTAGGCAGCTGACGCCCTATCGCTGATTTTCGATAACATGCGTTTTACTCCATGTTGTAGCGCATTCCCTAGAAGACCCGTGAACGGCAAAACATTTTATCTTTGACCTGACCTGTGACGTCATCGGTGACCCCGAGGTCAATGAAATTAGATTTCCATCGACAAATTTGACAGGGCTTTCGAACGTCGTTTGAATTTTGCGGATCCGTCCAGTAGTTTCGGAGATACGAGGGGGGGGGGGGCAAAAATAGCCTCCACACCCATGACACAAATCTACCCAAATGATACAAATATAATGTACGCTTTTTCACCCAAACTAATGCATCCGTAAAGTAAACTAAATCAAAACATACAGTTATCGCGTAAACGTCGCGTTATAAACAGACGCCACGAGGGCGCGGTGAAGCCTTTGAATGTATGTGGTGAGTGTTGTCGTTGACGTTGTTTCTCAGGTGGAGAACAGTCTCCGCCGAAAGGACACGGGCCCGGCCCTGGCCTGGTGTTACGACAACAAGTCTAAGCTGCGCAAAGGGCGCTCGAAACTGGAGCTGCGCCTGCGACAGCAGGAGTTTATCGAGCTGGTGCGCGCCGAGCGGCGTATCGAGGCGGTCATGTGAGTGCCGCGACGGGAGCCGTCGTATTTGCTGCCGCACTGCCATCTCTGATAGTTTACCGATATAATTAATGAGCTCGGTATTACTTGCTTAGAAGCGGCCAGCTGAGCTTAAAGTGTGGACCTGTCGAAATGTTTCTTGTTTTCCTTTGAACCGACCAGTGAAGCCAGCGCTATGAAGCTTGAGTTCTAGAAATAGGGTTTTGCTCGACCTTTTCCAGGTTATCAGACGCTGTCCGAACTTTGAAACCAGTCCAGTAGTTTTGGAGCTAAGCTCCTGCCCCTACCCGGCCCTGGCGTTATATGTACAATAACCCCTGTCAGCGGCAGTCAGCGCGGTGAGCGGCGCTGACTCACTAACGATAACGAGTTCCCGGCCACAACTGCACTGCACGCCGCCTAATCACAGCGGCTGCCGGTGTCAACTCATTGACCTGTTGGACTGCGTGTCAATGACGAGCGCGTTTCTCTGGCCCACCGGCAGGCACGCGCGCAAACACCTCTCCAACATGGACGACTACCAGGGCGAGGACATCCAGAGCTGCATGGCGCTGCTGGCGTTCCCGGTGGACACGGGTGAGCCGCCCGGCCGGCTGCCGAGTGCTGGCCGCCGCCCAATTCCCAGTCACGCTTACAGTGACTACTAGAGTTCTGCGCGGCTGCAATTTTCCACAGCCTAGCCGCCCCGCAGCCGTGGCTCCACAGCCACAGCCGCCCACAGCCGTGGCAAACTGTGGGCAGCCAGCCGTCAGCCGGCCGTGGGTACCTACTGGCTACTTTTGATATCAGCCAAATTGATGGCAGCCAAATAGTAAATAATAGGTTGTTTTTAGTTAAAACATATAGACAATAGCACATTGCAAATGGCTATAGATTCCCAAGCTCATGAAGCATAGCTGCACAAGCTTGCAAGGGGTTAAGAAAGATAGGTAGGTACCTTAACCTACCTACACCAGTATAACGCCTTTTGGGGCCACTAACGGAGCGAGCGTGAGGGTGACCCTTGCACGTGCGAAATTTCGAGGGGGTACCTCCATCCATCCATCCATCCAACTGTTTATTGGTAATACAAATTAAACGCATAATATATAGTAAAATAAGAGGAGGCACAAAAGCCAAAGGGCTTAAGTCTCGGTGCCAACTCTCGTGATGCAGTGCACCGGAAATATGTAGGTATAATACTAGCGCAGACACACATACATGCATACTTACATACATACACATACGTACATACATACACATGCATACATATATACGTACACGCCTGAACACATTCATCATCTCTCATACTTCGAATATACGCTCAGTCAGAAGTTCGCCCGACCGCCGCCCCGTCGCCGGCCACCGCCCGCAGCCACCGCCCCCGCACGCCCCGCCAGCTGACTTGTGCACGGCACCCTACTAACCGGTCTCTAGCGATGTGCCAAATTTGAGCACAATCGGCCCAGCCGTTCTCGAGATCTGGAAGCGGGACCCTGCACGTGCGCACGTGCAAAATGGGTCCCAACTGACTTTTGCACGGCACCCTACTAACCGGTCCCTAACCATGTACCAAATTTGAGCGCCATCGGTCCAGCCGTTCTCGAGATCTGGAATCGACCCCTGCACGTGCGCACGTGCAGCAGCACCCCAACTCTGGCACATGGATGTGCATTGCCTAGTGGGTGCCTACCTACATGCCAATTTTCAGCGCAATCGGCCAAGTAGTTACCGAGATATTGCAACAATTACAAAAGTGACACCTCTTCGTTTTGCACGTGGCACGTGCATAAGGGGTCACCCACATGCATCGGGAATAGTCCAATACTTGGGGTAGAAGGAATGAAGCTACCCTACAAAAATTACCGCGTGTAAATCGGTCAAGTGGTTGCTGAGATATAAGCGTCGCAGAATCGTGACCACGGCCGGCCGGCCGGCCGGCCGCTCATACTCAGAAATTTCCGTTATTCTACGTAAGACTCCGCTCGCTTCGCTCGCTCCGTAATGAACAGAATACTTTAACAACGAACAAGAATAGAAGCACTGTAGACGTCTATTGCCAAATCATGAAGCATGATTGTGGAACAGAACAACAGACCCTGGTACTTTTCATTATAGAAAATGGATCTGCAGTTGATGAACTGTCCAACAGTGATTGTCCTGAAAGTTCAAGTTGAAACTCTTGCTTCTTTCCTACCTTGCATATTTTCTGGAGTGTGATATGCCATGCTTGAAGCAACCGCTGAGCATTGTCAAACTATTCTGATATACTAGGGTTGACTATTAACCAGTATAACGCCTTTTGGGGCGACTAACGGAGCGAGCGAGAGGGTGAGCCTTGCACGTGCGAAATGGCGAGGGGGTACCTCCAACTGAGTTGTGCACGGCACCCTACTAACCGGTCTCTAGCGATGTGCCAAATTTGAGCACAATCGGCCCAGCCGTTCTCGAGATCTGGAGGCGGCACCCTGCACGTGCGCACGTGCAAAATGGGTCCCAACTGACTTTTGCACGGCACCCTACTAACCGGTCCCTAACCATGTACCAAATTTGAGCGCCATCGGTCCAGCCGTTCTCGAGATCTGGAATCGACCCCTGCACGTGCGCACGTGCAGCAGCACCTCAACTCTGGCACATGGATATGCATTGCATAGTGGGTGCCTACCTACATGCCAACTTTCAGCGCAATCGGCCAAATAGTTACCGAGATATTGCAACAATTGCAAAAGTGACACCCCTTCGTTTTGCACGTGGCACGTGCATAAGGGGTCACCCACATGCATCGGGAATAGTCCAATACTTGGTAGAAGGAATGAAGCTACCCTACAAAAATTACCGCATGTAAATCGGTCAAGTGGTTGCTGAGATATAAGCCTCGCAAAAGCGTGACCACGGCCGGCCGCTCATACTCAGAAATTTCCGTTAATCTAAGGAAAGACTACGCTCGCTTCGCTCGCTCCGTAATTAATGGAAGTGCCTTCAGCAATTTAACGTTATTGCACGTGCACATATTTTTTGGTGTCATTTCATGCCCTGATGTTTTTTCTATCCAATGGTGAAGACCAGATGTCCTTTGTTACTTCTCGCTCCAAGCTATCGTCGTTTTCCCAAGAGACCACCCGAACCTGCGGCGCACCATGAAAAAGGAGTCTGGCAATGGCCAAATTACCAAAATCGCGCGCCAAGCGCCAGCGCGAGGTCATCAGAGCTTATTGGCTTATTTTTATGGCTACACAATGGACAATTGCTATATTTTCATCAAAAAGATACACATAGGCACGATAAATGACAGCAAACACTACTCCACATATTCGCCTTCAAGCATCACACACCGTTCCAGCCTCGGCTTGACCCACTCCTGGAACGGCGCCGCCAGAAGACAGATTGGCGCTTTCTTTCTCAAACCGATGAAACCACCGGCATACCGTCTGTGGGGAGGCTGCGTCGCTCCATACACTTAAAAAAGAAGTTTTCTGAATTCTGATCTTGGTAGACCTTTTCCCTACGACAAACTGAGCTCTAATGACCTTGCACTCTGCGCTGGCGCGCGGTTTTGGCCATTGCTTGCCAGGTGGTGCGCCACAGGTTCGGGTGGTCTCTTGGGAAAACGACGATAGCTTATAGCAAAAAGTAGCTAAGGACATGTGGTTTTCACCATTGGATAGAAAAAAACATCGGCGCATGAAATGACACCCAAAAAATGTGTGCACGTGCAAACATGTTTAATTGCTTAAGGCACTTCCATTACTTAATAGTCAACCCTACAGGGTGTTTCACAATAAACGTTACTTTTGATAAGCTTTTGAAATGACCTCAACTATTCGTATGCCCATAAATTCTATATTCATTTTGTTGCAAATTCCTTCGGGTTTTTTATCCTTACAAAAACTATGACGAATCATCAACTGCATTCTTTATGTACGTGCAATGTCCACGCCATCAAAACGGGTCAATTCGCTGTTAAGCTTCAGGGTCCTTCACAATGAATGTTGCTTTTCAAACGACGATGTTTCAGTGACATGTATTACATATGGCTCATGAGTATTACCACACGAGACAGTAGAACAGTAACTGATGAACATATAACTTTCAGTTCAGCACCCTTCACGGGTTCTCCACTATGCCACCCTTCCGTCTGACTTTTTCAACCAGATTTTCTGGGATCGCCGTCCGGCCAGGAGGCGGGGCTGGTCTCGTGTTTCCAGTCTTCTGGAACCTTTCTACCACCCCTTTGAAAGACATTTTTGACGGAATATCCTTCCTCCTTTTAAAATGGCTACCGAAACTCCGTCGCACTGCAGTCAGACTCCGCAAAGCGCCGTAATGCATGACCACCCATACCGCCTCATCATCTGACATCTGTACACGGCGAATTGACCCGTTTTGACGGTGTTGGCATTGCACGTCCATACAGATGGGACTGTTGACGGTTTGTAAAAAAAATATAAGGACTAAAAACCGCAACAAATTTGCAGCAAAATGCATATAAAATTTACGCGCTCACGAACAAGTAAGATCTTCATTTAAGCTATTCAAAAGTAACATTTATTGTGAAACACCCTGTAGTACAATGCATCAAAACACCAGTGAGCATCCTAGAAAGAAAAGCATTAATCTATTTTGATTTTTCCAAGATTCTTGCATAATTCATGCTGCGCTCAACTCACCAAGGACCACAACTGCCACAATTGCCTCTTTCAATCTAAATACTTATTGGAGTTTGCAATGACGTCAATAACAAAAAAGTAGTAATTATTTTCTTGCATGCCTTAAAATGTCGCTTCAAAATGATGATAAGTTACATATAGGGTAATTCAAATAATTGTAATACTCAAACAAAAGTTATATAGGTATAACAAATTTGATATGTTTAGCTAAAGACGTCATTTTATCAGCAAATCCAACAACTCGCGTAAGAAATATTGTGTTCAGTGTTTTTAACGTCATGTGCATGAACAGTAAGCAAGGGCGCACACAAGGGGGGGCACACGGGCCCGTGCCCCCCCCATTCGAGTTGGGGGGCCCAACTCGAAGGAAGGGGCCCATTTGAGGCGGCCGAAGGCCGCCTCAAATGGGCCTCTAATTACTCCTTAGACCACCGAAGACCGTGTACAAAGGGCCCTCAAATGGCCTTAAAGGGCCCTCAGATGGTCTCAAAAGGCCCTCAGATGGCCTCGAAGGGCCCTCAGTTAGCGTCATAGGGCCCTCATCTGGTGTCAAAGCCCAAAGGGCCCTTAGATGGTGTCAAAGGGCCCTCAGATGGCTTTAAGGAGCCCTCAGATGACCTTAAAGGACTCTCAGATGGCCTTAAAGGGCCCTCAGATAGCCTCAAAGGGCCCTCAGCTAACGTCAAACGGACGTCAGAAGGCCTTAAAGGGTGTCAAAGGTTCCTGAGCTGGCGTCAGAGGGCCATGCCCTTGCGTCAAACGGCTCTCCGAAGGCTCTAAAGGGTCCTTTGCTGTTGACAGAGGGCCCCCAGCTGGTGCCAAATGGCCATCAGAAGGTCTCAAACGGTCCTCAGCTGGCGTCAAGCGGCCCTCAAAAAGCCTCAAGGGGCCCTTAGAAAGCCTCAAGGGGCCCTTAGAAGACCTCAAGGG